CTGTTTTACCCATCTGTAACGTCCGCTTTGTATTCCTTTCCCGGCTTTCCTTGTTGGTACTTCCGGTATCCTCTTTTCCGTCTTCAGCCATCCTTCCTCGCATATCTCTACTTGCTCTCCGCGTCTTCTTCTCTCTAATCTTCGGGTTTAGTCCGATCCCACTCAGAAGGCTCCCTGTGGATTAGAAGGGACGTACAATCGCCACTCCTTAATAAAACACGGCAAAATTAACCCACTCTCACAGATCTTTTTCATCAGCATAAATCAAATTAATCATTAGGTCAACTCTTACACTGACATCTAAATATTCCACACACGCTTCTTCTATAATAAGGTTATAACAATTACAATAATATCACATCTGACACATACATACATACATACATACATACATACATACATACATACATACATACATACATACATACATACATACATACATATCCCTAATTCTCTATAAAGAAAACTATAAACATCAACAATACTCCTACGCATTTTTCCATCTTGCAATTTGTAAGACACATGCAAACAAAATGCCTAATTATACATGCACAGGGCCAACAACGCCTAACTATGCACAATCCACAATTATATATTCAAATACAAACAAGTACAAAGTCTAACTACTCACTATTAAAATCAGTTCAGCTCCATGATGCAACACCGTAGCAGATTACACCATCCACTTGGATTATATCCTAAAAAATTCATACATTAATCTTGAATATTACAAATTCGTTATACACTACATTACGGCATGCTGAAGATTCAGCTATACATGGAAGATTAAGTTTCTACTAAATTAAACGCACATAACGTATTCACCTAGTTAGAAAAGTGAGACAGATTCGGGAGAAGATATTTTACCTCAAAAGCCTTTGTTCTAATCTCGTCCGAAGTTCCTAGAATTAACTTCCATCCCTTTTCACTTTTGGTCTTTCTTTGGGAGTGGGGTACTAGACAGATGCCCCATTCCAAAAGTAGTGTTTCATTTGTTCGTGTTTCCCCTTAAGGTATGTTTTTGTTTTCTTTTTCGACAGAGTTCTTATCAAAATATTTTATTTAATATCAAATTTTTGATGGGTAATTATTTTACCGAGTGTATTGTAAAAATTTGTTTGTCCAATCCAGGTTTTAATCTCCTGATCGCTGTCTCTTTCGCTTATATTCTCATGTTACCTTTGCTAAGGGTCTCATATGTCATGAGTGTGCTATGTACATATCTGCTATTTGCCCTTTTAACAAGCACACAACATCAGCACTCGGAGCGCAGTCTAGTCTCTCCCAACTTCCCTACGTCCTGCTATCGTCAATGTCCAGACGTGCACTGTTTCACAATGAATTAAACAGAATAATGTGCTATCGGCCATGTCCAGACGTGCACTGTTTCACAATAAATTTAACAGAATATTGTCTGGCTTCGTGAGAAACCCGCCTAAAATTAGATTACAAAAGTTCTGATTGGATACCGGTTGTCTCTTTGAAAACTGTCTGCGGTGGTATCACTGAGGTATTACAGTGTCGAGTTTCCGGCCTCCAAGCCTAATCTGACTGGTGGCATCACTACTAATTGCAACAAACAAGAGTTTCTTCAAAGGAAGTAACTGAGAATTTGAAGCTAACGCAGTGGCTAATTCACGGACAAGTATCTTCTTTGTTTCAGAATGGGTCTAAAGTCGTAATATTATATAACATGTATTGATAGTACCCAAAGTACTTTGAATTACGCATTCTAAGAAGACATTTATGTCAATGAGTAGGAATTGTTGACAAATTTTCTCACACAACTTGACACAATGCATATAGAATACGGTTTACTGTCTTGATTTGACCCTGAAATGCTTTCATATATCAGCTCGTTTCTATCTTTCAGAAAGATATGTCCAGCCTGTAGATTCGTCTTTTTCTTTCATATATTAATTTCATCACGTGACAATGTTATCCACTGTACGATAGTACCTGATATATAGATATATTTATGTTTGCAAACAACTGATGCGGCAGCATATGTAACTTCAGTTGTTTCACATATATCCAACTATTATTTTATATGAATGTATCGTCACCCAGGCAAAGGAAAACATCTGAAAACAAAAACAAGATTCGTATATTGATTGAAGACATTATTTTGTCAATTAAATGCAAGGAGAAGATCTCACAACAAGATTTTGTCTTCCAGATTCTCCATTGTATTCTATCCTTCGTCACACTGAGATCTTTAATGTCTCATAGAGTCCACGTTGTTAAATTTTATAGCAGCTATCGAAAACGTGTAATGGGTTCAATTTACAAAAATGTTTTAATGTTATATATTTTGAAATGCATTTGTTATCTTATAGTTCTATATAGCATCAAACAGATCTGCAAAAACAAAGGCAATATCATATCTTTATTAATTCCTTTAGTATGGAATCCGTCGTTGGATGATGGTTTTCTGAGGTAAGAACACATAGCAGTCTGGAGCCATCTATTGATGTCACCGGTCCTTTGGGGTCTCCAAATATAATAGAATGGCTGCCTCTATAAACCTAATTACCTCCATGATTGAAATTCCGGAAATGAGCTTGTCTTTCCTTAAGCAAGTGCAACGACTTTTTATTTACTGTTTTACATGTGACATTTTTATTTCATTCTCTATCTTAATCACGCTAATTGAAATTTTGAATGAAAAAATCGTGCATACCATCCCGTCTGTTTTTCTCAACCTAGATGTATTTGGAAACCGTATTATCACCGTGAAGATATATTTGTATCCATCATTGTAGTTTTAATATGATTGCGTGTAAACAACGACTGATTGTGATTATTAATTCCATGGTACTAACAATCTCCTCTGGTGGGAAACATTTTTTTCTATTACTTGAATTATATGCAGATATAGTCTCAGTTAACCATTCTTTCAATTTTTTTTTCTTTTGTTCCTTTAGTCAGTTATCATGATTGGATTTTAAGGATCTTAGTAAAGATGTCTTCAGTATTGCTTTTCGTTTTGTTCTGTAAAATTCTTTTTGGTAACGCTACAAAAACTGACATAGACATGTATTACATGATAACTTTTTCTTTTGGCATTATTAACAAGCCAACAGAACATCCACCTTCGGCTGGAACGTTTATTTTCAGCAATTTATAACGTTCTTTAATGCCTTTTAAAGCATTGATGATTTTAAACTGATGCTAAATTCTGCGATTTTGATGATTTCAAATCTTCACAAATTCTGGCGCATGCAAATATTTGAATTTAACACTTGCATCAATTTTTAACCAATGTGTTTTTGAAAAGACCCTATACAATAAAGCCTACTGCCTTATTCTTAAATGATTTTTGTCGGAATATTGTTCAATAGAATTACTATGGAAACTACAACAACAACAAAAAAACAACAGATTACAAGAAACAAGCAATTTGATAAGCTATTGAAATTACAGTCGTTGCTTACAAAAATATTTTTTTGTTTGTGCATGTGTTGAGTCTCAAGAAGCGTGTATACTTGAATCCTGGATTTTCGTGGGTGGTAAATGTTTTGTATTATTAGCTACATGTCATTTATAATAACTTTTTTATAGTTATACCATTCCTGATTAAGTGATATTTGCAGGATGTGGATGTTTATCATGAGGAAATTATTTTCATGCCCTGTTGTCGCAGTTCGTTTAGAATATTGTCAGACGTAAATTTACATGAAAGTCTCTCATGCATTGTTTGTTCGGAGCTTAGGGTTGTTCATTCACAAGGAAACAAATAATAGTAAACTGTGATAATACAGTCATTGTTTATTTTTAATTAAGATAAAAATATAGATGTCACTTCTTGCAATGTTGATTGAAAGATAGTTTCTATTCCGCAGGAATTATAGACTTCGAAATATGAGCTAAGTGATTCATGTGTATATAGTTATATTGTCAAGATGACTATCTCGGTGGTATCTTTATCTAATTCATGAAATTTTGTTTATTTGAACGATTTAATCGCATAAGAACAACGGAATGAAAAACAACTTTCGGAATAACTATTTTATTTTTTAAAAATATTTTTCATCAAGTCTTTTCGGCTGAGAGATTTTTTTAGAAATTTCTGGATCTAGCATATTTATATTAATAATTCTCTCTCTCTCTCTCTCTCTCTCTCTCTCTCTCTCTCTCTCTCTCTCTCTCTCTCTCTCTCTCTCTCTCTCTCTCTCTCTCTCTCTCTCTCTCATAAACATAAACATGGATTTATAAATCCACTTGCCCGACACCCGGGACAGGCTCTGATTCAGTTCCGACAAGCTCAAGTATCTGTGGTCTGGTTAAATTAAATAAAACACTAGCTATGTGGGATCTAGTTATCATTTTCTTACATCTAATGTACATGTCGTTTCTATCGCGCAATCAGGGCCAGTTTCGTATTTTCTCGATAATATGAATATTCACTATTTGAAGCAATTACTGACAAATAATGAACAAATATGTATATTTTGACTTATCCGTTGTATTTTATCTTAATATTTTTTTTTCATTAATTGTCAGAAAAATTTCGTTGAAAGCGTACATGACATTATGAAAATGTAGCATCCTTCAGTGGTATTTAAATAATTTAAATTTAATTTATTAATTATTTAAATAATAATGACGGGAGATCGATATGTCCTAACTGCTTGTCAAGCAAATTATATGAACAAACAGTTGTTCTCAAATTGTCCTCAAAAGTAAGACTATCTAAAGTTGTATGCATGTCGCTGATTTCAAGGCGACTAAATGATAATTGTTAAATAAACGGATATGTGATGTAATTTCGATTTTTAACGTAACTTTGACAATTTATCACTCATATCGCTACGATGTCTGCAGTGTGATAGTTTATATTGATGTCTAGCACTGGGGCATCATACCTCAGACATGTTGCATGATGTCCCACCCAGTCACATTATCCTGACACCAGGCCGACCTGTCCTAACACTAACCTCTTAATGCTGAAGGTCTAGTAATTCAGCTCTTAGTACCATTTTTGCAAGTCTTTGGTATGACTCGGCTGAGGATCGAAATCACGACCTCCCTCATCCGAGGCGAACGCTTTAACCACTAGGCCACCGGAGCGGTTAAGTTAAACGGATATAATAAGGCTCGCAAATCCTTCTATTGTGAATATAAATAAATCATGCCACACTAGTATTCATTCTCTCTCTCTCTCTCTCTCTCTCTCTCTCTCTCTCTCTCTCTCTCTCTCTCTCTCTCTCTCTCTCTCTCTCAGTTTTATCTATTTCCAAATAATTTTCTACTTATCCATTTATCTGTATAACTCTGTTTTATTTATATTTGCATTCTAACTTTTCTAATCTACATATCTATTTACATGTGTTATTTACATAATGTATATGTTTTTGATAATCTTAACTACTAGCGTATAGTTTCAAGGTGCCAACACACATTAAAAGAAACTAAAAGTTTCAATGAAGGCAATGCGATTTCCTTCACATACAGCATGCCATATTATATCTTATTAGTTTTCTTGTGTTGGCAAATTATGTTTCGGGCAAGCTCATATTTTCGAAGGGCAAGTTTAATTCTCTAGTCAGCATGCCCCGGCCAAGCTGACATTTATAAAATGAGCAAATCCCTGCACACGAGACTATTCTGCAGAAACGAAATTATAATAAGCCAATTTCTGCACATAGTGAATTTTAATGTTAATTGTATATAAAATGCAAATTAATTAATTTTTCCAAAATTATATTTCTGTCACAACGTTTGGCATTATTTGAGTATATTATTTCTAGCTAGATAAAGCTCGTAAGAACATTGCGGAATATATTTTTTTTGCACCACGAATATATGAATAGCCCGCAAACAGGAAAGGAACGAACAAAAAGAATCATACTTGTTCCATAGGTTAATTCTGAATTGATGATAAGAGAGAATATCGTCATTGTGCCTCAAACTTCTTTAAGGTTTCTAAAATCGGGCGATAAGAGAATAATAAGTTTGACATAAATTAAAACTAAACTAAAAGTAAGGTCAAGGTGATCTAAAATGTTGTAAAATGGATAGATTACTTTCTATGTTGTTACGCGACAAGGGCTCGTCCTCAGTAACAAAGAAATGAATGAAAGCCAACAACTTTTGTATATTTTAACAAAACAATTTATTTCCCTAGACAACAATGTAAAAATTTGTAAATAGGACTTACAATCGGTAAATATAATCTAAAAGGCGATCCTAAGAATGAAAACACAAGTTCTATCACTAAATTGTCCTATAGGAATCCAGGTTCGAGTCCCGATGACGTACAAATATGGAAGGCGATGACGTCAGATTTGATCCAATGTATGAATAACAATAATTCCTCACTTGAATCACAGTCTTTGTTTCCGCATATTCCAGAATAAATTTCTTTGAATATCTTTCAGAATGTTTGTTATAGAAGTCAACTTGTTGAGTTTCCAGGGGAATAAATTATTAAATCCAAAAATCAGTCGAATAACAAACAATCTTGTCAACAAATTGAAAAATACATACACTTTGTTTATTCAAGGAGCTGGAATGACAATGTCCGAAAAAAATAGGATTGCGTATTTAGATCCCCAATGCCTCATTTGAATTCTCGCGAGACTGGTCATGTGGTCTCTTGATACACTATTTTTGTCACGTATGAATCCACTTAAAAACCAACCATAAAAAAGGTTTTTAACAAATAGTGATCATGCAAAAATGTATGCCCGTTATGCTGACCAATCATTTTAACTTCCTATTGACATCATTACCAGGGTAAGACGGACTCAATGATAATTCTCACGTATTACATCTTCGTCTTGAATAAACAAGCTTTGTTATAAAAATATATCTCAGTACTAAAAATAGAATCCAGAATCCGATAAAAATATTCATTTCAATTAAATACAATGAAACAAAAATGAAATAAAAAGAATTTTAAATCTTACACACAAGCGATTTAATCACATATACATAACACTTCCCCATAAGGAAAAAAGAAAGATTTATATAATATAGCGTTCTTTTTACCATCTGTAAATTATACATGCGGTAAATAATATCACATAAGAATATTCTTATGAATTATATAAAGTGTATATGAAATAATATTTCTCTACAAGGAAAAGTGCATCTGCAACCAAAATGTCGTTTTCTTTGATGTGCTTCATGTTCAGATTATATGCTTGCAAAAACAAACTCCACCTTAATAATCTTAGATTTTTATTTTTCATCTCGTCGATGAAAGTAAAGGGGTTGTGATCACTATACACAACAACCGGAGAAGGAGCCGAGCTAATGTAAACCTCAAAATGTTGCAATCCCAATATTAAAGCTAAACATACCTTCTCGATTGTTGAGTAATTTCTTTGGTGCTTATTTAATTTCTTGGAGAAATAGCACACTGGGTGATCAATACCATTACTGTCTTCTTGAAATTATACTGTTCCAACCCCAACATCACTTGTATCCACAGACAATTTAAAAGACTGATCGAAATTTGGAACTGTTAGAACCGGCACACTTTTTCTACCTATCAAAATCTTTCTGACATTTTTTTCTGTCCAAAGAAACTTATTTCTCTTGCTTAACAAATTTGTCAGTGGTTCAGCAATATTGGAAAAATTTGAACTAAACTTTCGATAGTATCCGGCCATACACAAAAATCGCATTAATTGCGTTTTACTGACAGGAAAAGAATAGATAGCCTACACCTTTGCGTCAATAGGTTTAACTTGAACAAGTCCCGCAATATATCCTAAGAAAGTCACACAAGCACGGCAGAACTCACTTTTATATAAATTGATTGTCGAATTAGCATCAGTGAGTCTTTCAAAGAATTCCTGAATCGTGGCTAGATATCCAAAATGTGTCATTGCAAATAATGACGTCATCAACACAATTATATAGACCGGAAGTAATCATATTCATCAAGCGTTGAAACGTACTTGGAGAATCATTCATCCCAAAACGGCATTACTTTATACTGTTAAAGTCCATCTGGAGTTACAAACACCGAAATTTCTTTCGCTCTTTCCGTCAGTGTAATTTGCCAAAATTATTTTAGAAGGTCAAATTTGGTGACGTGCTTGGCATTTCCTATGTTATCAATGCAAACATCGATCCTTGGTAACGGAAATGAACTTGTTTTTGTAACACTGTTCACCTTATAATCAATGCACATTCGGAAAGTTTTATCCGGTTTTGGAACAAGTATGGTGGCGCTCTACAGTATTATTTAGCATAGGGTTAGAATTTTAAAGAAAAATAGTTTCTCCGAGTTTCCTTATTAGTTATACTGTCTATTTAAAAGAGACTTTGCATATATTAGGTATTGTTCAAAGAGCCTTTAATTCCCTTTATTTTGATGTATGATTGATTGGTGTAATATGGTTTGGAGAGTATACAGCTTGGCCTTACTCCAGATGTGCACCTTTCAAAAAAGTGCTAGCTCTACTTGCTCATTTTCACTTCTCGAACTTCAGAGGTAAATTGTAAAACAATTGCAGCCGATAACTTTTGTTACATTTTATGTATTTGGTAATTCATTCATTGCACTTTTAGAAGCTGGTATTGTCTAGTTTGGCAAAATTCATTTTCCATATTTTAATAGCTGCCAAGAATAGTGTACTTTAGACAAATTCAGGTTGATTTTTGGAGCACAAGGGAGCAGTCATTTTAGTTAGCAGTGTCCAAGATTATTTAAAATTTCCAAAAGTACAATATCCGAAGAAATTTCAGCCACATTACATGAAAGTAGCATATAGGTATGCCAACATTTTCTCCACTATATATGTTTAAAATGCAAACAACTTCTCCTTACATACATCTCTCTCTCAAAAGTACATAATAACTGGTGAGCGCCACCTATACATGGTGAACTCCAATCACTTTAACTGGGCTCTATAAAATCGTTCTGCAGCAAGTACTGAATTTTATTTTTCAAGTATTCCTGTTGAGAGGGTTCATCCTGTAGGGATGTTGTTTTACAGGTTTTGAATCAACAATTTCAACATATGAAACATTGTGTTTGTCTTCGTTGGAATATCAGGAAACAAGTGCTCATATTTTAATAATAACTGTTTAAGTTCATTTCTTTCTTCATTGCTACAAATGTAAAAGTAGCCAGTCTAGATCTTTCATAATTTCCGAATCCCGAATTCCGAAGATTTGATGCTCCAAGTTCAACGGTGTCCAATTGATTTTTTTTCACATAAAAACTCAGTTTATGGGACAGGTACCACTAAACTAATTGTATTATTTACTGGGCTATCTCTTTCAATATACATGTACTCCATTAATTTATTTAGACCTGAGTACTATAATTTATAATTTAACTCATAGAATCCCGAATCCGAGAAATATATTCATTGCAATTAAATACAATAAAACAAAAATAAAATAAAAAGAATTTTAAACCTTACACACAAGCAATTTAATCACATATAAGTTACAATGTTTAAAAACGAAGAGAATTAGCATCATTTAAAATGGTGCCATGACTGAGAATACATATTTGTATCAATTGGAACATATAACATAATCTAGACTGGGAGAGGTTCAATGATGTTGGTTGTAATTGACCGAACGAATTAGCGTTTAGTCGAGATTAAGAAGTTGGTCAGTATACTAGATGAGATTTATATTTCATCTAATTAAAAATAGGTTGTAGGGGCCTGAATGTGACTGTATAATAAATAGGAATGCACACAGTCTATTTGATAAAAACAATATGAAGAGCTAACCCCCAAGCAACTTAATCAAATACAAGATAGTACAGGACTCAGAACACGCAGCGTTTATTTGGGCTAAAGTAGGTCACAGTGGCATTTATTTTGTCATAGAGTGCACTGGACCTTGAGAGGAACCTGCGAAAAAATACTAATGAAATCAATAGCAATTGTTAAGCTCAAAGACGGAAGCCAGTGCAATATGATGTTAGAGGTTACAGTGATGACAGATCACACATATATCAATCACCGCAGGGGCTACTAGTGGCCGATTGGTCTAAAGTGCTCATCGATAGTGATAATGCTATCTCACCTCTGTCTCCGTGGGTTCGAGTCTCGGATTCGGCTCATATGGTTATGTGAGCGAACCTGCCAGTA